AACAAATCACAAACCAGTGTTTTTGTTCATCCTAATCAATACACTTGTAATAATGATCATGTTGCAGACACTACACATTTAAACCTTTTAAACTCTGGTCAATAAATAGAAAACCTTTTAACATTTAGTTGCCGATTTGGCTTTACTCTCCTGATCTTTATACCAAATGATTCCTCTTTACAGACTACTCCCAGGTGATATCTAAAAGTCAGCATTATTGAAACCTGAATTGTAAATGAGACTGAAGCTCACACCTCTGAGAGACATACCTGCGCTCTAAAACAAGCTGCAGTTTTTTTTTTATTACATAAGGCATAAAGGGTCTGAGGACACACCAAAGATCCCCCCAGGAGGAGCCAGGTTWCTGGGGAGAGGGATGTCTGGGTTTCCCTCTTGGGCCTGTTGCCTACACAACACCTGAYCTTGGATAAGCAGCAGGAAACAAATAAATGGATTTTTGAAATTCTCATCTCATCAAATCATTGGCTTGAATGACTAAAAAATATATATATTTGCGCAGCATAAACATACTGAGGTTTATTAAATGTTTAATTTTATTGGTGGTATTTAAATCTAGCATATAACAATAGCACCTTGTGGGATGAAATTTTGAGTCATTCATTTTTTTATTTATCTCAGATTTAATCAATTTTTTTAATTTAGCTTCTCCCTTATGCCGGGGTCACTGAAGCGAGCAAACTCACATGAAAGCTTTGGCGACTCTCTTTTATGCAGCACAAGCTMACAGCACTGAGCACCAAACTACCCCTAGTCCTCAGATACAATATTTTTATTTAAAATAACAACTGGAAAGTGAAAGAAATGGAAAAGCTCAGACCTGTTTTGCAGGAGAAGGCGTTTATAGACGTCGATAGCTTCCTGGTAGTGTGAGCGCATGTAGTGGATGGATGCCAAGCTCAGCTGGTCCTCTGTCACGTCCTTTAGGTTCTGGTGGAAACCCATGAGTCTCTTTTCATCGTTAAACTGAGACAATATTAAGACAAGAGAAACTGAGCTAAAATAATAAACCGTGAGAGTATAAAGTATAACATTAGAGTCGTAATTTTCAAACCTTGTAAGCCAAGTGAAAAAGCAGTCGGTTCTGGAGGGGGGACATTGGGGCTACAGAAAGCAAGAGACACCAAATATAATGAAAAAGAAATTAAGTGAAACAAAATGTCATTATAAAATACGTTTGGACATTATGTTCTTGTTTTAAACAGTTACATATTAAACCAAAAAGCTCTTTAAGTTTCATGTTAAACAGTTACATATTAAACCAAAAAGCTCTTTAATATGTGACAGGAATGACTGGGAAGTGGTTTTGTAGACATTCACAAATTTTACAGAATAAACTCAGTGCAGCTCTTATTTAAAATCACAATTGGTCCAAATATCAGTGGTGGAACGCAGAAGAAATATTGATGTTTACAAGTTCATTAACAAGCTAATTTAACGTAATAATCAGAACTGGGATGGAAAGATAAAAAGGGACAGTCTATCTGCAAAAGGGGCAATGTGGCTGWAAAGTGACTGCATCATAGTAAGAAGGTCACAGGTTCACCACCAGGCCTTTCTGTGTGGAGTTCGCATGTTCTTATGCATGTGTATGTTTTCCCTGGGTACTCCAGTTTTCTCCCATAGACATCAAAAAATAAACAAATAAATAAAAAACATGCATGTTAGGTTCTTGGGTAACTAAATTGTCTCTGGGTGAATGATCGTTTGTTTTGCTTGTCCCTCCCTGTGATGGACTTGCAACCTGTCCAGGGTGTACCCCACCTCTTGCACAGTGACTGATGGAGATATGCACCAGCTTCCCGCAACCAGAAAGAAAAAGCAGGTAAAGAAAATGGATGGATGGGCATAATCTTGTAAAATGCTTAGTTCTGTAGCCTAATAGTCCAAAAATACAAAAAAAAAAGGTATCTGAGTGTTTACATTCCACAATAAAACATGTTTCAGCTGAGGCACCTACCTTTTGAAGCAGTCTCTTCAGCTTCTTTGTAAAGCCCCAGAAAAAACAGAGCACAGCCCAAATAGTCCCACACCTCAGCTGGGCAATCAGGTTTCATGGTCAAGCTTTTGTACTCCTGTAAAAACATGACAGAGAAGTAATAAAAATGTGTTCAGATCCAAGAAAAGTAGTTAAGTTATATAGACATGTTTGGGTCTTAAGCATTTGTTTCTCAATGTACTGCATGAAAGGCACTTTTGGTAGAATTATATACATACATATTTAGACACACAAATCTGTAGGAAAAATCACCTCCATGGCTCTCTTGTAATCACCAAGGTGAAAGGCGCAGTAGCCAATCCAGAGGTCTGCATGCTCCTCTTTCTCTCCAATGCTCCGCTGGAACTAAAATGGACAAAACAAATCAGGAGCAGCAGCTTCTCAGCAACACCACATTATCTGTAGAACAGATAAGAACGAAATCCCCCTTTTTCAAAAGCAAATCTAGGGCGTGAAACAAGATCATCTGCAGAAGCTCAGAAATACTCAACAAATCTGTGAAAGTGAAGCTATAATTACTCCGTCACAGAGGCAAATTAGTCAAGCAGTTCATTTTCAGCTCACTAAGACGTTTCTTTSTTTCATCCATGAGAGATGATGTTTTATTGAGCAAAATAAGTGCCTCAGTCCAGATTTTTTTTTAAGTTTGTCACAGGGAAAAACAAAATATTTTCTCCTGTTAATCCAATCAATGAATTAATGCACATGAATTGGGATTTCTCTAGCTTTCTGAAGGTGAATGTTGTGTAAAAACATGTAATGCACTTCAGCTATTATGTAATGCCATATGTGTGTGTGTGTGTGTGTGTGTG